GGAATACTACATCCTGTATTCTTGCACATGCTCCGTACACTACTGATCGTATCTTGCCTCGTGCAACCAACTGATCGATACGTCAGTATATGCACGTACACATGCCACGTGGTAATCTCGGCCTACTAAATTTATTTTTACCGAGATTCCACCACATTCCCCCCTTTGATGCCTCTTGATATTTTACAATTACTTGAGGCATCACTTAACCTTAGTTTGCATACACCACAAGTTACCTTTGAACCAGACCAGACTTATCCTATGATGTGAATCTTCAACACTCGTCTTCCTGCATTGGTTCTCCCTGATCTAGAGCCTTATATTTATAAATTGCCATTCTCTGTGCAGCAGCCTTCCTCTCTGCTATATTTTCTATCAGGCTTTGCACAGACCTAACTACTAAGGGTATAAGACACGGCAGGAGTAGACACAACATTAAAATCAGTAGGACTCCACCTACCACTGCCTTGAGCCCTCCAAACCACTCATACCAGCTACCAAACCAACTACTTGGATTGTACCCTTTCCATACCTGAGTAGGCACATGCGCTAGTTTAACCATATGGTTAGTAAGCTCAGCTATTGCTTGCCCTTCGTCATCTATTTGAAGACAGCAATTGCTCAGGTTAAACTTCCCACATACACCTCCCTCTACTGCCAAAAGATAATCCAAGGCTAATCTATTTTGGCAAACTGCTGTCCTCATCCTGGTATTATGCTTCGCTAGAAGATTGAGCGCTTGTGATGTCTCGTTAGTAATGATCTCAACCACCGCCTGTAACCTTATAATGCGGTTGAGCATATAAATAGGGGTTCTATAACCAAAGGTACCATCCTCTGCCCACGTGGCTGGCCCATAATAATCTATAATACGCTGGGGAAGCCATTCATTATCTTCCCAGGCACCTATCTCTATGGGTCCCCTTTTCTTCCTATGATTCACATCATACACTTTAACACCCAAAGTCTCACCTGTTTCAATAGGCAACAAGAAGAAGGATGGTTTTAACATACCCAACACACATGCCCCTTCCCAGTCCTGTGGTAACTCCGAATAGGCCTTCTTACCACAGATCCAGTACAAATTCGCTGGGGCTCTCCAGTTAGATGTGATGGATAGATCAAACCATACGCCCTTTAAATTGGCATATCTTGCAAACGGGTTAGATGGTTCTGAGACATTTGAAGCCGACCACCAAGTTGTATTCTTTGTATCATCATCATAAGCTTTTTGCCCTAGACAAGTTAATTCTCCTACAGAAGTATTATACATCATTCCTTTCCTCGCTATGCAAACATAACCTATGATGGAGGTCTTCAATTTCCACTCAGATTTACCTCTAACACTCATATGATAGTCGGCTTGTGTAGATATTAATTGGTCAACTGCCTCAGAACCGGACATTACCTCCTTTGCTTCCCAAGGCCATTGGTCTCCCATGTTAGTACCTCCACACACATAGCAGTTGGTAACATTAAGACTACCGGCAATACTCTCGGCTAAATCAATGAACAAGTTTTTTAGCATTATGGGGGATCTTATTATCTATGCTCATCTCTTCATAAAAGGAATGGTATACTTGATGAGTTTGGGAGGTTACCGTATCAGTCTCTATCCCTATAAACAATATTGTCCCAGGGTCTAAACCCGGCCCATATATTTGAAACCCAAATAAATTACCATATTTATCTAAGAACTTGTCAGGGTTATTTATAAGTATATGGATTGGATTGCATTCCATAGACTTACAATATGGATCAGTAGACAACTTAGTCACAATCATGTCCTTGTCTGCTGTCTGTCCCCAAGTCGCTCACCCCACACAAGACCAATATGGGCAGAAGTTATAATCTCTATTTGGGCATCTTGGACTTACATATTTATTTTTACTACTGGGACAAATATATTTATCGTTAGACCCATACGCCCTCTCCCATCTAAGATCCCCACATACATTCCACGGCTTTCTACCACTTGATATTGCTTTACACGCATCAAATAGCAGAGCACCTGAAGAATATACGGATTTTAATACCGTCTTATTAATTAGGGTCCCCTGAGGATCTCCATTTCTGAGAGTCAACCAAATTGTACGGGGTTGATACTCAGGACTGAAGCACTTAGGTTCTCCTACTCCAAAATGACACACACTATATTCTATATTTAAGTATCTACATCTTGATACATCTCCTTTACACTCATATTGCGAATGCCAAATTAGGGTCTGGGATATATGGTTACCTGTTCTTGTAGTCTTAATGCATACCACACAGCTAGGAGTGTTGGTACCTCTACCTTCCTGAATATAAAAATACACATAAATAAACATTATTAAAAATACATCTTTCGTCGTCATCCTCAGTCTTCGTCCGTGTGAAGGCACCTCAGCTTCCAGGATGTAAGTACTGCAGGGAATGGAGTTCTGCTCGTCTTCACAGGGGTCCCCTCAAGACTTTCCCTGACTTATACACTCGTTGGTGAGTGGACAGGCTTTATTATGGCCTTCTCACCCACTTACCAAGTCTCTGAAACAATAAAATTTGTAATCCACAAGGTTCCTCGTCACTCCGACTGAGTCGTGCGTTTTAACCGGATCTTGCAGGGATTTTCTGGATTTGCTGTAACTTGCCAGGAATCGGCTGCTGCTGGTTTAACCCTGGAGTGATGTATCCACGGAGCCACTTCGGCTACTTTTATCGCTGTAGGGGTAGACAGAAGAACAACATAAGGACCTCTCCACTTGGGCCCCAACGGCACATTATTCCACTCTTTAATCCACACTTGGTCGCCTGGGTGGTAACTATGAATTGGGGGATAAATATTCACAGGTAATCTATCTTGTACCCATTTCTGTACCTTCTCCATAGTCTTACCCAACTCTACAACCTGCTGCCGGGTAATTCCTTCTCCCAACTGACTCAAATCCCCCTTAAGTTACCAAGCACGGGAGGTGGTCGCCCGTACATGATTTCAAAAGGAGAGAGGCCCATCCTTCTGGTAGGTGTACTACGGATTCGCAATAGAGCTATGGGCAAGAGAACGCTCCACTTAAGTTGGGTTTCCTGACACATTTTAGCCAACTGATTCTTAATAGTTCTATTCATTCTCTCTACCTTACCAGAACTCTGGGGTCTATATGCCGTATGAAGCCTCCACTTTATACCAAGCATATGAGTCAATTGTTGTAGGCACTGATGAACAAAAGCTGGACCATTGTCTGATCCTATAGAGCAGGGTAGTCCATATCGGGGTATTATTTCTCGTAGCAGGAATCTCACGACTTCTCCAGCTTTCTCTGTACGAGTAGGACATGCTTCTACCCAGCCTGAATAGGTGCACACCACTACCAGCAGGTAGCGATGTCCACCCGATTTAGGCATCACTGTATAGTCAATTTGTAAATCGGATATGGGAAGTCCCCCCATAAACTGGACTCCTGGTGGCTTTACTGGTCCTTGTCTTGCATTATTTTTAGCACACGTTACACATCTACGTACAATGGCCTGAGTCAAGTTGGACAATCTTGCTATGTAGAAATGTTTTCTGAGAGATTCTTCTGTACTGTCTCTCCCAGAATGTGTCCCGTTATGATAGTTTTGGACAATTTCTACCGCTAGTGATGCTGGAATAACTATTCTTCCATCTTCTAACTGATACCATTTGTTCTCCAAATACTCTCCAGGTTCAGTCCTTAACCACTCCTCTTCTTGAGCTGTATAAATTGGAGTCCATTGAGACAGTGGAGTTGGTATAAGAGCAGCTATATGCCCCACATATTCCTGTCTTCCTGATTCAGCAGCACGCTTAGCTGCACTATCTGCCATCCGATTCTCTTTGGTTACATCACCATCTCCTCTCAGATGCGCCCGACAATGTATAATACCGACTTCTTTCGGCTCCCACACTGCTTCCAATAGTTGTAGGATCTCAGCTGCGTATTTGATTTTTTTGCCTTCTGAATTCAATAGTCCTCTTTCTTTATACAAAGCTCCGTGGGCATGAGTGGTTAAAAACGCATACTTGGAGTCCGTGTAGATGTTCACTCTTAAACCTTCAGCCAATTGTAACGCTCGTATCAGTGCTATCAATTCTGCCTTTTGTGCTGATGTTCCTTTTGCCAGTGGCCGAGCTTCTATCACCTTGTCTATCATTGTTACTGCATATCCTGCATAGCGGATCCCTTCTTTTACATAACTACTGCCGTCGGTGTAATATTGAACATCAGGGTTCTGGATGGGAAAATCACGAAGATCTGGTCTACTTGAAAATACTTCATCCATTACTTCCAAACAATCATGTTGACTTTCAGTAGGTTGTGACAAAAGGGTAGCTGGATTTAAGGTATTTACAGTCTCTAAATGCACTCTTGGGTTTTCACACAACATTGCTTGATACTTGGTCATACGGCTGTTACTAAACCAATGATTTCCTTTGTAATCCAACAACGTCTGTACTGCATGTG